TACTGCTTCATACCAAGAGACAAGGAAAGGTCATCCCACTATTAATGATACTAAATGTAATCACTTGGTTAGGGTGGTTACAGTCTGATCTCTTGCAATGACCCCAATACTTAAGCTGGGTAAGTGAGGATATCAGAAGGGCAAAGGACAATGAAAAGGTGATAGACTGAGGGAGCATAAACTTCAAGCACGAATTGATCTAGACAAGGCAAGTATTTCCAAATGTTGGGAACCAATTATTCCATTAATTGTCTCCTCCATATTTCTAGTGCTCATTACTCTTGAACCTGGCCATAGATGTGTGGGTCTTTTAAACTCAGAACCACTTAATAACTTACTTCCTGGCTCCTTTCCATTTTAAATAAACAGTAGGTTTACTATCTTTGGAGATATCTTTTTACTTTATGTTTAAAGAACAGTGACTCCAGTTACCAGACAATTAACACTAACCTCTATCCCCCTGAGCTTGGGGACTCCCTCAGTCTCTCCTCAAGATGAGAAATTCTCACTTTCCCAACATGTCAGTATAAAATCTCCCTCAACTGGTGTTACAGGGTACAAGCTCAGGCGGGGCGAGTTCGCTGATGTGCTACTGAGTGCCAGAAAGCTCTGGGCCTGGTTCTTTGTTCCTCACCAACCTTCTCTTAATCATTTTCCCAATTTATTCTGGTTAGATAAAGCCAGCCTACTTTTGATAAAAGACCTAGTTGTATGCCTGCCAGTCACACTTGGCTGTCCATGTGTATCACTTCTGTCTTGACAGCTTCGTCCTTTGCCAAGTCTGAACCTGGGACTCAAAATAACTGAGATGTTGGTGCCCCCTAGCGGACACACTGATTTTAAAAAATCTTTATTAACTAACATTTCATTGGGTTTAAGTTTGAGGCTTCTTGATTTCTTTAACAAAAAAAACAAAAAAAAAACTAAAAAATGCCAAAACTGGTTTGGCTCAGTGGTAGAGCGTCGGCCTGCGGACTGAAAGGTCCCAGGTTCGATTCCGGTCAGGGGCATGTACTTTGGTTGCAGGCAACATTCCCAGTTGGTCTCTATCTCTCTCTCTTCCTCTCTGTAAAAAATCAATAAAATATACTTTAAAAAAAAAAACCATTGTGATAATCATGAGTTTTATTTATTTATTTTTAAATATATTTTTATTGATTTCTGAGGAAGAGAGAAGGATAGAGAAAGAGAAATATCAATGATGAGAGAGAATCACTGACAGGCTGCCTCCTGCACGCCCCTCATAGAGCCTGCAACTTGGGCATGTGCCCTTGACTGGAATCAAACTTGGGACCCTTGAGTCTGCAGGCTGATACTCTATCCACTGAGCAAAACCAGCTAGGGCTCTTATTTTGTTTTTAAAATTGATTAGTAATTCCTCAAAATAAATGGACAAACATCCATCAATAGAGAACCACATAAATTATTTTATGTAATAAAAACATAAATGGACAGGCCAGTGTGGTTAATGTAGTGTGCAAAAGCTCCAAGGGTGAGAGCAAGAAAAATAGTGTGCAGCTTGTCTTCTAAACACTAAAAAATTTTAGATACAAGTTTGTAAATACAGAATAAAGTACTTCCTTTCTGCTTTAATTATAGAATGAGTTTCAAGGAAGGTAAGAAAACCTATAGTTTTGAAATCAGTTAAGAATTTCAGTCTTCTCTGTAGCATGCTTTTTCTATATAGGACAAGATTTTAGCTGTTTGTCAGCCAAATTAACTTCCTGAAATATAAACAGAAGCATCTGGATTTTTTTTGTTGTTGTTGTTCTTGTTTCTAGGAAGAGGGAAACTTGTCTAAAACTTGGGATCATTTAATGAATATTATCTGGAATCAAGTCAAGAGAACATTTTCCTTAATACAGTGTTTTGATTTGAATATGTAATTTTTTCACTTAATGGTACTGCCATTATTTCCCGGGGCTTTCTTTTAAAGTTTAAATAGGACTATGGAATCCATCACAAGTGGGAGGGTTTGGCTAATTAACTCACAGCCTAATCCGCTCAGCCACACAGAGTTGTTTTGGCCCAGTGTCTTCTATGAGAATGTGTTTTTCACAGGCATTAACAAAACAACCTCATTAAGGCATAGTCATTCTTTTAGGAGCCAAGTGTCAACTTTGACAGGGAGGAGCAAGTGTTAAGACGGGTCACTCCAGCCAACTGTAAGAAGTAGGCTCACAAGAACAAGCTGCATGTACTATAGCAGCCATACCCCATGTTTGAGAGTTATGTGTTCAGGAAACCCTCACAGTAAGAGATTTTTACAATTGAGAAACAAAATTTCAGTGAAGAAATGAGGATGGAAAACCAAAGTTGCTTTGCAGAAAACACATGAAAATTTGAATAAATACTAAGTTCACCAAAAAAATAACAACATTGTCTAAAATGAAGATAACACCAATGATGTTTTATGCCTCTTGAATTTGCACAGTTGAGCATTGCACAATTACTTTACATCTTCTATCCCTTGCACACCAAAAATAATCCATGTTTTTCTCTTTTGTAATAAATACCAAAGAGATGTTTATAAATATATGTTGCTTTCTCACAATAATGTGCATATTTTCTTCCTATTTCTCTACTCTAATGTGCAGTCCCTTTCCAATGTTAAGATCTGTATTCCTTTCTGGTCTCAGTAACATAGGATAATTTCTAAATCCTCAAGTGGAAAAAGCTCTGGGGATCTATTTCAACTTATCTAGCAGACCTGTGTGGATTCGTTCTCAAGCCCCAAGTCAAGAACTATCTCACTGCAGCTCTGCCTGTGGCAGATCCCACCACTGCACACATGGACACCCCTCTTACATGGCTTGCCTCCCACGCTGTTCACACAACTGTAACACAGACTGATGGCAGTTTGCCCTGCCTCAGCTATCCTCACATCTCCTATAGTTGCACTGCAGAAAACCTCTGCTCTTCCTCTACTAACCCCTCTGCCCCCTTTTTATTTTTACCTGTTTATTTTGTGTTTTTTAATCCCCACCCAAGGACACCCTTCATTAATTTTAGAGATGGGGGAAAGGAGAGGAAGAGAGAAACATTGGTTGCCTCTTGCTCATGCCCCAACCAGAGACAGGACTCACAACCTAGGTATGTCCCCTGACCGGGAAATCAAACCCGAGACCCTTCTGTGCATGGGAAGATGCTCCAACCAATTGAGCTACACTGACCAGGGCTCTGCCCCTTTTAAAATTCTCAAACCCTGGTCCCTTTTTCTCATACCTGCAAGAAAAATTGCTATCAATCTGAATATACTTGTGTGGAAATTTTTGAAGTTGCAGAAAAATATTTGAAGAGAAGTAAAGCTGCCTATGCTTACATTTTGTTGGAAATTTGCATTTGGCCATGTTGTCCACATATAAATATTGTGACATAGGCCTGGTAATTTGAAGTGCCTTTTGTCATGCCTCTTGGAAGAGTCTGAATAAGAGTTGGAGCATGCTTTGTTAGCAATGGAGCCAGGGGGTGATAAATGAGACCTGGCTTATGCCTGAGCACTGACTCTGTGGTCTTCTTTGAACTAACTCTGTGCCCTAACTGTACCCAGCAGCACAGGGGTGGCTGTGGCCCCTACCTCAGAGATGGCATGTTCTGGATTTATGTATAACAAGGCTGGCCTTGGAGGGAGATGGCTGAGCTGTGGCCTCTCTAGCTTCACTCACTCAGCCATAGCCATGCAGCCCTGTGAGGATTTGGGGATCTGACTACCTGCACCTCTCTGGGCCTTATTTTGACTACCTAGTATCCTCACTGCACTGACTTTTTTCCAGATACTTTAGATAACCACATCTGATTTTTTCCAACTGGTGTTTGTCTATGCCTACAACCCAATATTGGCATTTATGAAAACAATGGACAAGCAAACATCACGTGCCCTGCTTACTATCTTTGCAGTTCTGTGATAAACATCCCATCTGTCTTCACACACCCTTCATCTCACTCACCAGACAGATAGCTTATTAACTCATGACAACTTTGACTTCCAGTCTCCTGACTCACGCTGTTCATGGCCAGGGTCATCACTTAGCCCTCATCCAGGTGGTCTGCTTCTCTTGGGCCCTATGCTCTCCTATTTTCCAATCTTGGCCCCTTTTCACAGAAAACGCAGTCACTCACAACACTTCTTAATTGTTCTCTTGGCAGAGGAAAAAATAATTTATTCCCTCTACCCCACAATTCTCAACTTCATAAATTCCCAGCAGACTTTTCCTCCCAAGAGTTGTCTCCTGCCCAAGTCCTCACACACACACACACAGCATTCATCCTGGCTTTTCCCCCTTCTCCCTCTCCTGTGCTGCTTGCACCCCATCCAATAAACCCACCCTAACCTTTATCCTAAAGAGAATAATTTTCTTGTTGTCCTTTATCCTTCTGATTGTTAAATTATTTAAATTATTCACTTATCTTCCCAGTGGTTAATATCTAAGCAGTTTTTCAAAAACTTGATTTTAGAGAGAAGTCAAAGACATGGACAACAGTGTGGAGATAATGGGGGAAGACAGAAGAGGGCTTGGAGGGAATAAATGGTGATGGAAAAATAAAATAAAATAAATGATTTTTAAAATAGCCTTTGCTGAGTTTACTCAGTGGTTAGAGAATACACTTGGGTCAGGAAGTGTACCAGAGGCAACTATCAATGTGTCCCTCAGATTGATGTTTCTCTCTTTCTCCTTCTCTTCCTCCCTCCCTTCCACTCTCTAAAAATCAATAAGGAGAAAAATATCCTCAGGTGAGAATAAAATAAATTAATAAATATTAATTTATTATTAAAAAACACATTGTTGTTTTGTTTTGTTTTTTTTTAAAAAGGAAGACATTTTTTAACTGGAAAGGGATGTTCTCGTGCTAAGAGAAGTGCTTATTCAATATGAATACTAGAAATCATGCATGGCTTGTAGCTCAACATGCATTTGCTAAGAGAGCCACCTGTAGTCAAAAATTACCAGAGTTTCTCCTGACCCTTTAAAAATTAACTCCAAGGCTTGTTTTCTCTGCAGGTCCTCAAGCATGTTCCACGTAATGAAGCACAGTCACTACATCTCCCGATTCGGCAGCAAACCTGGGCTGCAATGCATCGGCATGCATGAGAATGGCATCATATTTAACAATAATCCAGACCTCTGGAAAGTTGTTCGACCTTTCTTTACAAAAGGTAATCAGGTGCCTGGCTACCTTCTGCTCTTGTCTGTGAATGTTCCTTTTTTTTTTTTTTTTTTTTTTGGAACTCATTCTTAAATTCTGCTGCTTCAATTTTGAAATAAAGATATGAGCTAATGTGCATTATACATTTATTACATAGTAGGCACTGTTCTAAATACTTGATCTTTTAATCCCACAGTAACCCTTGGTCGTAAAATAATCACCTACCCTTTACAAACGAAAAAACTGAGGAATAGAAGGTTAAACAACTTGTCCATGATCCAAACATTCATAGGAGACAACCCCAGAGCCTACGTTTTTAACTACCACAATTTCCATTCCTCCAGTTAACACACAAAACGATTTTATGGGCATGAAGAAGAGATAGAGCTCTAAATTTAGGGTCATTTAATTAAAAATTGAGTGTGTCTGCCATATGTTTGATTTAAACATAGCCAACAATGTGTTTACTAAATCACTGGCTGATATTCAGATGTTTTAACAGAAAGCAACTTGTGAGTAAAATTAGAGTAGAACTGGGAAGGTTCTATGTCACTTCATCAGCCTCTGAGTTTTATAATTGAATTCACAGTCCTATAGAGGTTGTGATTTTTGTACAACATAGCAAGTCATGGGTGAGCAGAGAGCAGAACAAAAGTCTCCTTATCTAGTGAGTCCTGCTGGAAATAAAGCTGTTGGGGGATATACATAACCAGACTTTGACATTAACATCAAGGAACATAGTCATGCCTTAGAAATGTTGTCAGTGATGGCAACTGGCTAGATGGATTTTAGAATATGCACCTTCAATATTCTTTCCTCCAGTCAGCCTTGCAGGAAACCCAGATATCTCCTGCATGGCTGCTGAGACAGGGAAAAGCTATGCCTGTTCCCTCTGGGTGCTGATTCCCCTCTGCTGAGCTGTCCATCACAAAGACTCGGCACAACTTTGTTGTAGACTCTGTTGTATTAGTTTCCTCTTGCTGCAATATCAGATTGCCACAAACTTAGTGGATGAGTGAATTAATGAAAACAGGTATTCAATAACACAACATATTATTTTACAATTCTATATGTCAAATCTGACATGAGTCTCATTGAGCTCAAACCAAAGCATCAACTGAGATGTGTTACTTTCTGGAATCTCCCTGGGAGATCTGTTTCTTTGCATTTTCCAGCCTCAGAAGCCACCCACATTCCTTGGCATGTGGCACCTTCCTCTGTCTTCAAAGTGGTTAAATCCTTTTTATATCACATCTCTATGACCATCCGTCTATCATCACATCTCTTTCTGACCTCAGCTTAAAAAGGTTTTCTGCTTTTAAGGACTTACATGATTAGGAGGGTCCAAACAATATTCTCCCCATCTCAGGGTCCTTAATTTTAATGATATGTGCCAAGTCCCTTTTCCATGTAAGATAACATATATTAACAAATTCCAGGGATTAGGGTCTGGATGACTATTCATATTGGGGCAGATAAGTCCTCTTATGCCTGACAAAATTGCAGAATAGGTTAATAAAAAGAGTAGAGAGTACAGGATTATAGGTTGTGGATTCTATTCTAATCTCTGCCACTTTACTAGTTATATAATCTTTGACCAGTCACTCAGCCTCTCTGAACTTTAGTTTCCTTATCCTTAACAAGTAATAGACACTACAGAACTTGAATTTTAGAGTTATTGTAAAAAAAATTTTTTTTAATCATGCTGTAAGATCCTATAGGGGAAAAAAAGTTTTATTTTACTTTATCATTTGGTCCAGTTATATTAGGAATATGTGAACTAGTATTTAGGAGCAATTACCATTATTCTCTATTCTGACATGCAAGAATTGATATAACTCTAAACTCATGCATTTGTTTAACCAACTACTGTCTTCTCATCATTGAGTAAGGTTCCCAGAACACAATAAGAAACAAGATATGACCCTGGCCCTCAAGGAATTTATAATGGGAGAGGGAGCAGAGTACCTTGCCAAACACTCTCCTCAATGATGTGTATGATTGAGGCATGTGCAGAATGTACAGAGAACAGACCAATAGGCCATCTAAAGCACACTGAGAGGCCCTGGCCAGTGTGGCTCAAGGACTCTAACTTTAATAGCAAGTATGAATAATACAAAACATAAAAAGGAAGACTGCTCTTAGAACAAAGAGAGATAGGGGGGCTTTAAGAGTTAAAAATCTCAAGATAGATCATCTACCATCAGAAGCCACTAGCTACTCAGATGGTCAGGAGCAGAGCAGAGGGTGAGATCAGAGCCAGTGCACTCTACCTGTTTTCATTCATTCACTTATCCACTTATGCACTCGTCTATTCAATAAATATGTTTTGAGGACCACTAAGTACTATGGACTTAAAATGTAGTGCTAATGGCAGGTTGTCACTGCCCTTAAAGAATTCCCAGACCAGGGGGGAAGACTGCTAAGCAAAGAATCACTTAGCTATTATGACATTGTTTAAGTAAAATAAATCTGAAAGTAGTTTGAAGAGAAATCAAAATTAAGAGAAAAGCACTCTTAATAACTTAATATTAATAAGACTAGCATTTTAAACATATAAATTAAATTTAAAAGGAGCCACATTAGATGAAATAGTTAAGGTAAAGTTTGACTGGTTCTGTAGCAACATCATGCCACCTGTTGAAATATAAAATAATATCACCCTGGAAAAATCTAAACCTTTAGAGAAAAATATATACAGTAAATATGAAGAAAACACAATTTTTTTTATTTATGACCACAGTACTAAATGTTTCACTCGCAATCTCACAAATGATTTACCATAGCATGAAAAGTTTATCTTTGAATACTTTGTTTAAAATAAGATTCATTCATCCATTCCTATAGAAAATTGGGAGATTAAAAAATGTGAAAATTTTGTATTTATATGTGTAGTTATTGTATTTAAAAGTATGGATGATTAAGCTCTAAACATAAAAAGCCAAAATCGCCTGCTTGTGTGTGTCCTGGAGTTCACCATGGCTTACTCTCTGATGCGCTCTCTGCAGCTCTGTCTGGCCCTGGCCTCGTGCGCATGGTGACAATTTGTGCTGAATCGATAATAAGGCACCTGGACAGGTTGGAGGAAGTCAGAAGCGAGTCAGGCACTGTCGATGTGCTGACCCTCATGCGGTGCATCATGCTGGACACCTCTAACATGCTCTTCCTGGGGATCCCCTTGGACGGTACCGAAATCTTCATTCTCATGACTTGACATTACTTAACAGGGGGATAAGAGGCTTGGCAGCCTCAAGTAAACCATTCTGTTTTCTACATGTTCTTCTTTCAATATCTCTAAGGTTTCCTAAGGTATTCTACCCAGTGTGTCTGCCTTGTTCAGATATAAATTTCTGTAAAGCAGGACCATCTATTTCTTTTGTATCTCTCGTCATTGCTCTAAGAAACAGAATTCTACCCAAGTCAAAACTCACAAATGTGATCAATTCACTTGGTCGTTAATGTATCCTCCCACCAAACAAACTGATATATTTAATCATTTTCAACCATTCTTTTGGGGCATGATACACACACACACACACACACACACACACACACACACACACACACACACCTAAATATACATATACACCCCTCCCTCAAAGCTACTAATTATGAAAATTTTGACTCTCTATGATGATGATGGTGTTGTTTGAAGCTGCAGGAAATAAGTACAATAGCTATGATTAATTACTTTAGTGTCTACCATGTACCAAGCAGTGTAAAAAGTTGCTTTACATACAGTTTGTCATTTAGCATTTTAGCAAGATGTCTCACTCAAGAAGCCACTTTCCTTTCTACTATAGAAAACATTAAAACACATACAAGCAACTCTACCACCACCTAAAAGCAACTCTACTACCACCTAAAAGCAACTCTACCACCACCTAAAAGCAAACATTAATTACCGAGCTTAATTCCATCCTGCTATTATCCAGCTTCATGTGATTCTTGCTGAATTAATTTTTGCAGTGTTTATTGATTCATACATTTATATAACAGATATTTATTGATTGCCTATTTCATGTCAGGCTCTAGGTTCTGGGTATAGAGCAGTGAACAAGACAAAATCCTTGGCTTCAGGGAGTTTACATTTCAGTGGATATATGGACAGTAAACAAGTAATTATCTATATATACTTATGGTAATATAAAACAAGTAATATAGCAAGCAATATTACTTTGCCTATAATATATTAAGCAATAATAAGTGCTCTGAAGAAAAAAAGAAAGCAGAGCAAAGGGATAGTACGTTAAGGGACAGGTCAGTGGAAATGGACGTGGTTCTCAAGGAAAGAGTGGTCAGGAAAGGCCACTGCAGAAAGACATCTGAACATAAACCTAAGTGAAGTAAAGCCACAAGCCACATACAGACCTGAGGAAAAACATTACAGGCATAAGAACAAGGTATAATTTAACACTTTCCCACGCCTGCTCTAACACCTGCTGCCTGATTTACCACCTAGGGACTACAGACAAGCCCTAAGCCCGCCCTCCCTCTTCTCTAGCTCTCCTTACCTCATCTCCCTGCTCTTCAATTACTCCTCCCAAGAGCCACAGGAGCCCCCATTCACTCTATGGAATTTTAGTCACACTTGCTTGCTTGATCCCCTCTCAGACATGGATTCCAATCCCAGCTTGCCTGTTTTATATAAATCTTTCCTCAGGTTTGTCAGAAACATATTTTATAGGTCCCTGCCCCTCAGTTCCCTGCTAGCCTAGATTCTTAGGAAGGATCATGTAAGGGAACTATAAATGTCTGTTAACTTATGGATACAGACTGTGATGCTAAGAACCTGTATAACTCATGCAGTTATTTTATTTCCCTTCTCCTCCCCTGGTCCTTGCTAAACTCTGTTTGTCTCAGGGACCCAAATATGAAAGAATATCGCCCTGGGATCTGACAGAACTGGGCTCTAGCCCAAGTGTGGGCTGCCACACTGGCTGTGTGGTATTGGGCAGGCTTCTCAATCTCTTTGAACTGCAGTTTGTTCATCTGCCAAAGGATGACACTATTGCTCCCCTAGAAAGATTGTAAGGATCAAGTGAAGTCTCTTTTGCAAAGCATCTTGCACAGTGGCTCACATTTAGCAGCTGAAAATCAATGTTTGTATAATTTGGGAAAAGCTGGGTTTTCTCTTCCCTAATTTTCAATTTACTTTAAAAAAAAAAACCCACACATTTATTAAGAGCTGACTATGCACAAGGCTCAAGGCAAGCACTAAAGACACTAAGATATATTCTACATTCTAAACCGAACATAAATATGAAAGCTATGTGAGGAATGCTATGAAAAAAAAATCTTTTTTAAAAAAAAGCACAATAAGGTGAGAATACAATGAAAAGCTATTAATTAGGTACATAATCCAAATAGATTATTCACCTAGTAGCTCTGCTTAATGAACACCAAATGAAGTTTAAATGTGGCTGTTGGCAGCCTAGCAGGAGAGTGGTGTGGCTTTTTGCCCTCCCACATGCCAGAACTGAGGCCACAGCAGCCATAATTACCAGTGATCCTTTTATTCCTCACTGTCCAGAAAAACACGAGAGATATGGATCATGTCAAAAATGGGCATGTAAGATTTGAGACTATTTAATACTAAGCTTAAAACTGGCAAATCTCTGGTCAACTTGGTCAACTAAAATGCCAGGCAGAATAAATTAGTGTGTTGCTTGTCTAGTATCAGTAACATGGCTAGAACACTCCTGAAGGTGGAACCTTGCCCAGCTTAGAATCTCAGACTGGTAGGAGAATCTACAGGGGTCTTTTCTATTCAGAGTACTCTTCTTGGGCTCATTTTTGCTCAATTGCTTTATTCTTTTTTGTTTGTTTTTCCAGAAAATGCCATCGTCATTAAAATCCAGGGTTATTTTGAGGCATGGCAAGCTCTCCTTCTCAAACCAGACATCTTCTTTAAGATTTCTTGGTTATACAAAAAATATGAAAAGTCTGTGTAAGTAACACAAGTTTGGAAAATTTATCTGTGATATTGAATTGTGGTTTTTTTTGTTTTTTTGTTTTTTTGTTTTTTTGTGCCTTTGTTATTGTTTCCCTCTTCAGCAAGTTTTCTGGCCACAAGGGCCTACAAGAGAGATGTTGATGAAGCTGCTGATGTAACACTTTCTACATCAATTTGGCTGATGTGGCTAGACCAAAGAGTAAAGGAAACCTTGGGCCAGGGTGGCTTCTCAGCAAGGGGGCCAAGTGGGAGGTCTGAGAGTTCCATATCTGGAACTAAAACATTGCAGTGTATTTTGAGTTGAACAGAAGGGCTGGATAAACCTGTCATTATCATCTGTCAAAATTGTCTTTGCATATTTAGAAAAAAATGGAAACATGAAATCCTCTCCTAGTTGTGTTAACTTAATTCAACTTGTAGGAATTGACAGCAGTCTCAAAAGATTTTTTTTCATGATGAACTTCAATAAATTGTATGGGAGTTTTATTTTTTTTAATTATATATCTTGTGTATTTAGGGATCCTAGGACCATCATTAAATGGCTTTGCTTTGATCTTACACTAGTCTAGCAAAAAACCTAGACAAATGCCCAGTGGCCTTAGTTAATCAATGGTTGTGTTTTTTAGTGGAAGTAGCCAGACACTAAACACTGCCACTTCTAAATCACCAGTGGAAAGCCTGTGGGATTTAAAGGCAGACAGATGTGATTTGTAACCTGTACCTATCACTTTGTAACTAAACGACTTTGGGAAGTTATTTAAAGTAAAACAGAGCCTGCCTTCCAGAGTGGAGATATAAATTAATGAAATCCTATACACAGGTCAATTAACACAGAGCTTGGGCCATAGTAGACAATAAATATGTTAAGTTTCTCCTTCCCTATGTTCATTTTAAATTCCCCATCTCTAAAAGTTCTCAAACTTGATTGAAGACCCAACTTTATCCCATTCGTACATTTTTAAGTTCAATAGTATTAGTCTCCAGGAAGGAAACCAACTTGATGTTGCTGTACATATTCTCATAATGAGTATCAGAAATTTCATTTCTGCCACTGCCCATTGTGACTTGATAAAGGATTCATTCATCACTTCACTGGTGTCAAGTTTGTAGTTCTTGGTCATTAGTTTGATTTTGGTCTTGGCCAGGAGGCCCACAGAAACTCATTAATGAAACTGTATAACAGTTTCTCTTAGGTTTCTAAAGAAATAACTTAGCTATATATAACATTTGTCAGTGGTTGGTGCACTAGTTTATATCTCCTTTGACGTAGAGCAGTGAAGACCTAGAGAAATCCTATAACTTCCTATCCTCCAGGTCCTTGCAATAAAGCCAATATCTTTATTGGGGTATAATTGATATATTAATTTCATGTGTATAACATAGGGATTCGAGATATATATATATATATATATATATATATATATATATATTAATATATATATATTCATTCAGATATATATATATTTTTTTCAGCCATTCATTCAGTCATTATTTATAAGTATTTATTATGTGGCAGATACTGCCAGGTATGAGGATAAGTATTAAAATTAATGAACAGTCACTTGAATTTACTGTGTAGAACATAAATCTCAAACTCAGTAGTCTTGTAGGCCAGGCAAATAGAAGCAGGCAGGGTGGATAAAGGACATCAGCAAATGGAGGTGCCCGTGGCAAACTAGAACATGCATGTCCGCACTAGAGACAGTCACTGGTTTTGGTTTGGAGTTTTTCATTTATACACTGTGCTGGCCAAATAAAAAATCAGAAAACATGATAGGATTTAGCTTTTGGCACCAGTTTCTAACCCTTAAGTAGAGGTTACAGCCTTTATTTTGCTATCTGTGCCTAAAAACTCTGGTTCCTTAACATGAAGTATAATGTATCTGTAATTTAAGGATATTTGTGAAGAAGTAGGTATAAATTCAGTTATTCATAAGCACTGATGGTTTAAATTACAGCAGGTAATTTTATTTAAGTAAATGGCAAATTAATCAATTTTTCTACATGTCTTAACTGAGTACAGAGAGATTATATTTTTACTCTTTTTTTTCCAGCAAGGACTTGAAAGATGCCATAGAAATTCTGATAGATGAAAAAAGACACAGGATTTCCACAGCAGACAAACTGGAAGACTGTATAGATTTTGCCACTGAGTTGATTTTTGCTGAGGTACTGACCTAAACTAACCGTAATTTCCACACAACACATGTGTAAGACTGTTTTTGTTTCAGTGTGTAAAGGTTTCCTCTTGTAATTATGTTACACAGTTCAGCTTCTAAGTATTTGCTTCAGCTCTTTTATAATGACCATCTCAAATGGCCCACGCATTAGACATTCTAGTGAAACTGACCTTTCAGACTAAAGCTACTGTGTCTGCAAAATACAAAAATATGAAAATGGAAGAGTCCAAAAACACTAAATACATAGGAAATTTCTTATTAATAGTTCAGCTTTCAGCTGAAGATCAGGAAAAATGTTCATAATCAATTACTGATATGTAATTTGTATGATTGCACTTTGATGAGGTTGCTGATTTTTTAATGTCACCTCGTTTCCTTTTGTGAAATTTTTGTTCACTTTTCCAATTTTCCTCCCTTCTTTCAATTATTCAGAAGCGTGGTGACCTGACAAGAGAGAATGTGAACCAGTGTATATTGGAGATGCTGATTGCAGCCCCAGACACCATGTCTGTCTCTGTGTTCTTCATGCTATTCCTCATTACAAAGCACCCTCACATTGAAGAGGCAATAATGAAGGAAATCCAGAGTGTTGTTGGTAAGAATTCATCAAATAAATAATAAGGTTTAGAAAACAATTTCTTCTGAATATCACCTTATGTCCTAAAAATCTGATGTCAGACAAAATCTTTGTAATAATCTACCCAGAGAACAATAAAGCAAGTCATTTTTGTCTCGCTTTCATTGTGCCAGATAAATTTAAAATATCATTCTTTCTGTGTTTTATTTTATTATAAAAATAATACATGCTCAATTGAAAAAAAATCAAATGATAGAGAGATGTATAAAGTAGAAAGTAGAAAGTGACATCCCCTACTTCCTTCCACTCTCCTCTCTAGCCTCATTCCCATTACCCGGGAAAACCACTGTGCATTCTTTTTCTTATGTGCACATAAACATATCTCTATGGTCATAATTGTTTGTATTTTTAAAATTTTATCAAGCACAATTTTTTGCCTACCTTATCAGTGACAAAGGCTTTTGTGGGTTCAATTAGGGAATGGCTATCATTTATAGCAGTGTTTCTGGATTTCAAGCAGTCCATTTGCAAACGAATTTCCAGTTGGTGACAGAGGAGGAGAGACAGGGGAGTGATGGGCTTTCCACTCCCCCAGTCCAGTGGTGCTGGCCTCTGCTCCCTTCACCCATTCCTCCTCTTCTGTAAGGGCCCTGAGGCCCCTGCTCAAGCAACTTCCATCATTACCTCTTCCCTTCTCTGCCCCAGCCTCAGCATCATTCTGCCCACTGCTCCTGACATCATCATCCTTCCACAGAAACTGCTATCAGACACTGAGAGAAAACAGAATTCCTTATTTGGAATGTCCTTAACATGGGTAATCATTTTAGGAACATACTCTGACATACGTAGCAAGATATCAGTAATGATGTAGACTTTTCTCTCTTGACTTTGTCCAATTCCTGTGAAACAAGTTATTTGGTTGTGGAAAGATACTATTTTTTTTTTTTAATTTCAATGCGGCTTGAAATAGTTAACAAAATTTAAATATGTGAGGGCATGGCTAAAGGTAGAATAGCACCCAGGCTCCAAATCCCAGAATGTCCCCATCAGGTTACAGGCACCATGTCAGGTGCAGAGCACAGCGATGAACAAGCCAGTGTCATCCCTGTACCCCCGGGACTCATAGACTGGTGGGAGACAACTTCAACAAGCAAGCTCAGTGGAGTTAAGAGAGAGGATCATAGGAGGTGTTCAGGGAACAATTGGAATGGGATGGGAGATTACTCTTGAGAACATGGCCTTTCATACAATTTTCTTGAGAAGTGAAAAGAGTTCCTCTGACATTTCAACAGACCTCTGTAAAGCGCATGTGTCCGTGTTGCCTCTAGCTATACATTCACAGTAATTCCTTCCTAGGGTACGCCTTTGCTTACCTTCTCCGTCATGTTCCCTTCTACCTCTTCATCTTAGATGAACACACTCCATAGATCCGTTAAGAGTACCCAAGGAGCAGCATGTGAGGGGCCTGGCTGTTAAGAGTTCTCTGACCAAATGAGACCTTTCCTGCGTGACATAGTTGTACAGGAGACAGGGCTGCCTCAGGACCCTGGTCTATTTTTGATTCTGGAAAAAAAAAAAAAAAAAAAAAAAAAAGTGGTAACCCATTTGAGGATACTCTGAAGCTTTATCAATTCTTGGAATAATTTGAGCTTCTCTGACTAATATCAAGCCAGTCTGAGACAGTGGGGGCATCCTTCAATCCCCAGCGCATCCAGGGCTGATGTACCCATTTTTTTGTGGTGGGAGAGGGCTTCTTGCCCCATATCACAACAGGTTGTTCTTAATAAGATGAGGAAGAGAGGCCATCAGTGATGTGTTCTGGCAGGTGACTGCACAGTTAACCAGAGGAGAAAATGTCATTGACACTGTCTTGCTTGACCCGAGAGAAGTAAATTTCCCCAAGAATTTTGAGTAGGGAGCAAAACACAAAGGCCAGGCAGATAAATTTTGGAGCAAATTGGGTAGGACTACATGAGGCTGCAGAGGGATTGCCACTCTACTTTAGCCCATTGTTGCTATGTAGGGAGGTGAGTCCAGTGTTACCTGGATTTTTAAAAAATCCCACAGCTTTTAAGATAATTGGCTTCAAATATAAATTTTTATAAAACACTCTGGCTGGTTTGCATTAGAATTATAAATATAAAATATTTTCCAACCAATAGCAAACTGTTCAGTGGAAGCTATAGAAGTTTTAATGATCATCACATGTTGAAACTAACACTACCTCTTTGTCCTTTTTATCTGCTCCCATAGGTGACAGAGACATAAGAATTGATGATATTCAGAAATTGAAAGTGGTAGAAAACTTCATATATGAGAGCATGCGATATCAGCCTGTTGTGGACTTGGTCATGCGCAAAGCCTTACAGGATGACATCATTGATGGTTACCCCGTAAAAAAGGGGACTAACATTATCCTGAATATTGGAAGAATGCATAGACTTGAGTTTTTCCCCAAGCCTAATGAATTTACTCTTGAAAACTTTGCAAAAAATGTAAGTGCCCTTCCTTAAAACCAAGTACACCACTTTTTAAAATGTCAGCTGTTAAATTCTCTCTGGTTCTGTGTTTGCACCATGTACATTTCATTCTGTTTACTTGTTACTCTCTGTATCCTCACCAGAAACACACATTTTCCCTAGCTTGAATCATGGCTACCACATTTGTCTGCAAGACAAAAATGCTTGGTCTCTAGCTCTGGAAAGTATCTACATGGTGGCCACATAATAGGTCAAAATGTGAAAAAGTCAAGACCTGAATTTGACTAAAACTAGGCAAATTTTGTTTAACCCAACCAACTACTTTTCTATTTAAAGTTACCAGTTTGTTATCATGTAAATTCAGTTACAGCAGTACCTAAACAAACAAACAAAAAAAAATAGTCCACTTCTGCTTCAGTTGGAAATCAAATGAGACCAAAAGATTTGGTCTTTGTAGTCTGCCTTTGGGTCACCAAATGGCCCCACAAGCACTACTTCCCATTTTAAACAGGACTCGGTAACTAGAAGAGTTTCAGCTTTTTCTTTTTCTGTCATTGAAGTACACTGGAGATCTGCTTTCTTCCTGTCAAATTTCAGGCAATGATTTTTTTACCCATATTACCCAGATAGTTCCCTCAGTGCCTTCTTTTTCCATGTGCATATGGTTTTAAAAAAATGATAATCCAGTTCTCTAATTTTTTTCCTATTTCTGTATGAGTGACCCATGTTGACACTTGATCAACAAAACTTATTGGGCACTGGCTGGTGTGGCTCAGTTAGCATGTCATCCCACGCACCAAAGAGTCACAGCTTCAATTCCCAATCAGGGCACATACCCAGGGTACAGGTTCCATCCCCAGTTGGGGCATGTGCAGAGGCAGCCGATCAATGTTTCTCACATTGCTGCTTCTTTCTCCTTTTTCCTTCCTCTCTCTCTAAAATGAAAAAAAAAAAAAAAAAAAAAACCATATCCTTGGGTAAGGATTAAGAAAAAAAGATTTATTGGGAATCTACTATATGATAGGTACTATGTAAGTCCAAATGTGAACAAGACAGATGTGGTATCTATTAATTTTTTGCATAACTAAAAATATTTAGATACTTGGCACTACTAGATCAGAAATCTGCATCTCTCCCTTAATGTCATCAAGTTATATGACATTTCACAAAAGTATTCTTTGCTTTGGTGATTTGCAAAACAGTAGTAAAGTTGTGGCCATCTCAGAGAGCTAATTGAGTAACTAGCTATAATAAAATGATTTGCATTGTTTTATCCAGCACATTTACATGAAAATCAAAACTGGGTACTGACCAAGGTTGTGTGTGCAGCACAGGGGGTGAATCATACTATATGGACAAAGGAGCTTACCTGGGTTACAGTCATTCATCTCAGTGAAGGATCAGTATGGCTCAGACCCCAAACCAGAGCATTCTGATTGACCAATATTTTCAGGGTAAATCAAACAGCGACTATATGATTCTAGCCTTTAAAACTCTTGGCTAATTGTCTGATCATTTTCATAGGTTCCTTACAGGTATTTTCAGCCATTTGGTTTTGGGCCCCGTAGCTGTGCAGGGAAATACATCGCCATGGTGATGATGAAAGTCATCCTGGTTACACTTCTGAGACGATTCCACGTGCAGACACCACCAGGTCGAGTATGCGTTGATAAGATGCAGATAAAAAATGACTTGGCCGTGCACCCAGATGAGACTAGCAACTTCCTGGATATGATTTTTATCCCAAGAAATTCAGACAAGTGCCTCAAATGCTGAAGAAGATTGGTCAGAACCTACTCTGGAACACTTCTCATCAGTAGTTCACAAGAAAACCATTCATCTTTGCCAGATAGCATCATCCTCATAGTGAACATTTGGTGGTCCATGGCATTATACAGGCATACCTCCTATGGATTGTCAGCAAACTAAGAAACATTGTTCGCCTGATCTTGTCCAAACCAGAGAAACAGAGCAACAGAAAATACAAAGGTCAAGAGTTTGCAGGGGAAATGGTCAGCAAAGAAACTGCAGTCTTCAAGGCCCAATTCCATAACACGTGTTGGGGGGAAAAAAGACCATCAGCAAAACTTACATCTGGCTGCCCATGAGATCTCTACCGCCCTGCCCCAAGAGCAGCTGAATGTCTGGGGCAGAAGCACTCAAATTGATTAGAAAGACCAGGCCAATGTCTGGGTGCCTAGAGCCAAACACACCTACTACTGTGAATAAGTGTTTGATTTGATTTCAGTGAGACTGTAGCACTCATAGTCTTTGGAAAAATACAAATTCAGATTTGACTTTTCTTATGAATTATATTGAATTAACTTGTTTATCCACATGTGACTTGTCTGTAGCGAAAGTTAAATAGGAGACTATCCTTTCTCAGTCTCTCAATTCATTCTCCAGCCACTTACCTCTTCTATAATAGATGCAGATTTGGGTAATACAAGGTAACTTACTCAAGTGAAATATATCTGTTATAGGAACAGAAAGTCACATCATGCATTTCAAATTCAAATGTTTTTTTCATGTGTGCATTGTTTCTTAGCTCCATTAGTATGGCTAACCAAGAGGTAACTTTAAATAATGGCATTCAGTAATTCTAACAGCAGCTCCAATGATTTGGGAGAGAAGTCCTCTAAATCTATTTCTAATTCTATAGCCCAGTGGGTACAAACTTATCTGGAGTGCTACTCCCACTGCATTATCTTTCCCCCCTCAATAGTTCCCCCCTCTCTTTTTATGACCCCAAAGCCAAGGGCAACAGATTAGTAGAGAATGTGATCAGTGTAGAACCCCTGCAACCATTATTTATCCTACCTCAGATTTAATAGTTGCTGTAGAGATTGAACAATTGTCTAGTTTATTAAATCGTTATATGTAGCCATGGATAAAATGTTCACCATAGAAGTAGCTCACTAGAGAGAATCAAATAGATGTTAATTTTTTAAGTACCATTTGTGTTATAATACGACCGTTTCAACTGAATGTCATTTAAAAGCTGAAAAATTAAACTCATTTACAAAATGTAAATGTTTGCCATTGAGTCAACCGCCACCGCAACATTTGAATATTCTTTTCATCTACTGTTTGGCAATAGGGCAACAGCTAAGTATAAAATGAGAATGTAAGCTCCTTGAAAGAAGGGGCTCTTTTCTTCCTTTTGTAATCCATCCCATTTTTACTGTCAAGATCAGTACTGAATATGCACTTGCTCATATGCTCAAATGACCCTAGAAACCAAGTAGAGAAGAGGCAGGTATTCTAAGAATTCAAGAATGGGCATTAGTAAAGAAGGAAATATTTGAACTTAAAATTATTTGAATCATCTATATGGCCCAACATACACATAAATATGCCTGTGTGCCTAGATATTTCTGTAGTCAGGTCTAGACAATCAGCTAAATAATTCAGACCTCTGAAAGCAAGGCCAGAATTTTAGAATTAATGTATCCAAGTTAATTCACTTGGTGATTATTAACACAATGTTAACTTTGCTCTGGCTAAAGCTGCATAGTAGAGAAAAACAAACTGGATCAGTGTACTTCACCCATTCAATTCCCTTGGAACATCTATTATATTTTTCTTTTCTTTTTTAATATGTTTTTATTGATATTTAGAGAGAGAGAAGGGAGAGGGATAGAGAGATAGAAACATCAATGATGATAGAGAATAACTGATTGGCTGTCTCCTGCATGCCCCACACTGGGGATTGAGCCCACAACCCAGGCATGGGCCCTGACCGGGAATCAAACTGTGACCTCCTGGCTCATAGGTTGATGCTCAACCACTGAGCCACACCAGCTGGGCCACCTATTGTGTGTGTGTGTGTGTGTGTGTGTGTGTGTGTGTGTAATATATATATATATAGCTAAGGCCTATGTCTATACTGTCAAAGTAGAATGGGAGGTTGATATAATTGTGTATAGATAATACTTATACAAAAAAAATATGTTGTCCTCTCACCAATCTGGACCTTAGTAGACTCATCCATAAATATGGATGACAACAGTGGGGCTCTATAGTCATTTCCAATGCTTTGGTTCTGCTATTATTTTATTCATAAGCATAACATTATTTTCCCCTTTGTGTCTCACTTTAACGTCAAACATACAATTTGGCCACTGAACAGTTCAGTGTGCGTCAACTGGTAGACGGTAAGCCCTCAAACACTAACGTGTCTGCATATGGCCCTAACTTAGTGCTGTGGGCATGATGAGTAAGTTTCACTCAGATAGTCACTTTATGCCCTGTTTGAACTTGTGAGCAAGTCAATGGGTTTGCTGAAACAAATCCTTTTTGTTTTTTTTCTGAGAAGTCTTGGTTTCATATTCAAAACAACTGGATCCCTAAGAGCTCAATAGTATACCTCCATTCCCTGCTGAAATTAACACTTTCCCTGGCCACCAACACTTTCTCTCTGGCATGCTCATCACTTTCCCAAAATGCAGCTTGCTGCTTTTACTATTCAAAAAACAACCAAAAAAGGGTAATGAACTCTCACTTATCAGAAACCCCTGAATTACTCTGAGCAGAGGTCACTGTTTCAAAGGTTTCATGTGCCCTTTTAATCAGAGCTAGTGAGGCTGAAGTGCTCACCCCCTTTTTTACCTTCACAGGCTCTTACCTAGATGAGGTGTGGCACTTGCTCCCTGAATCACTTTCCTCAAACTGCCATAATAAGCTGGGAGACTTCAAGTATGAGAAATATATTATCCCATGGTTCTAAAGACCAGAGTCTGAAATCAAGGCACCAACAAGGCTGCTCTCTCTTGGTACCTCTAGAGGAGACTCTTTCCTCTCCAGCTTCTTCTAGGTCTCCTTGGCTTGTGGCCACATCACTCCAACCTCTGCCTCTGTGATCATGATGCCTTCTCCTGTGTGTCTCAACTTTGTCTCTGCCTTTCTTTCATAATAACATTTATCACTTGATTGGGGCCCATTCAGGTAATCTAGGATTCCATTAATTACATCTGCAAAAATCCTTTTTGCAAATGAAGTCTTATTCATGGGTTTCAGGGATTTAGATGTGGGCATATCTTTGGGAAACTATCATTCAGTTAAATACACTCCCCCACCCCAGGACATGATTGGCAGTTCTAATTTTCCAGAGCAGTGTTTACAAAACTTGGATGTACATCTGAGTCATCTGGGCTTTTGTGATACTTGGGAACCTGATTCAATAGGTCTGTGTGATATTCTCCATTTCTCCCAGGTCACACTGATACTGCAATAGGTGGTCCAGGGTGAGCAGAGTTTGCAGCATTGTGGTTCAGAGACCAGCAGCAGCAGCTGGAGCCCCATTAGGATGGAGACTCTTGGGCCTCACCCACACCCACTGAGTCCAAACCTGTACTACAATAAGATTCCCAAGTGCTTTGTCTGCATGTTAAAGTTCAAGTAGCTCTAATGAAATTAGGTGTGTGTGTTTTTTTCCTACTATATACCCAAGACCCTTTCCACCAAACTCTGCACCTGCCCTGTGGAGTCTTTAGCCCTGTTAGGGCAGGTCTTCAGTTCTCTGCATAGTGGGAATTTCCCTGGGCCCCTGAGGGGAAGCCCCTAGAAATTAACTCTGTTCTTCCTTGCACTCAGTTCTATTGTATAAACAGCCACACCCTAAGTGTCAAACCAGGCAGCCACTTCCCCCAAGACTGGGAATACCAACAGAGTAGTTGTGATACACACAGAAGCTACCACTGCAAAACAACCACTGCAAAACTTTCCAGGAATCCTGGTCATTCTTCCTGCTATAGGGATCAATTAAATGTGCTTTTTCCACTCTTCTGATGCTCACATCAAACCTTTTACTGTCAAGGAGTCAAACTATTAAATGTGTCCCTTCATGCATCCCAAAGAATGTAAAAAAAAAAAAAAAAAAAAAAAAAAAAAGTTTCCTACAACAAAAATCTATTAAGCATCTATCATCATTACTTATATGGCTTCTTTGCTCAGAAAGAGACCCTCCCATGATACTGCTGCCTCTACAGGAGGTGCACAATGAAGGTTGAACTTAGTCAACATAGAATTAAATCCTGCCTCCATTAGCAACTGTGTGTCCCGAGACAAGATGCTTAACATCCCAGGGCCTAGTTTTACCCATGTGTGAAAGCAGGTAAGATGTATGGACCTTGAGTATTAGATAGAATTGTGCATGTAAGGGTCAGCGCAGGGGCTGCAGTGATGTGGTTAGAGGAAAACATGAAACAACACTGATGAGGTAGGCCGATGCTATGAACTAGATTGTATGCCCCCCAAGTCCATACGTTGAAGTCCTAACTCCCAAGTTACTATAATTAGAGATAGGATCTTTGCCCAAGTAATTAAAGTTAAATGAGATTATAAGATTGTGACTCTAGCCCTGACAAGTTTGACTTAGTAGATAGAGCATCCGCCTGTGGACTGAAGGGTCCTAGGTTCTATTCCAGTCAAGGGCATATACTTTGGTTGCAGGCACATCCCCAGTAGGGCGTGTGCAGGAGACAGCTAATCGATGTTTCTCTCTCATCGATGTTTCTCTCTTATTGATGTTTCTAACTCTCTATACCTCTCCCTTTCTCTCTATTAAAAAAAAAACAATAAAATATTTTTTTTTAAAGATTGTGACTTAATAGCATTACTGTTCTTATAAGAAGAAACACTGGAGTTAATTTCTAGGGGCTTCCACCACATGTGTTTCCACCACATGAAGACACAGTGAGAAGGCAGCCTTCTGCAAACCAAGAAGACAGTCCTTACCTAGAACCAAACTGGCCAAACCTTGATCTGGGGCTTCC